CTCAAGAGATACTGGTCTGCGATGGGATATACTGGGTATCTTGCTGGTTTATGTGCAGTTACGAAATCACCAGTAATTGTGTCAGTTCCAAGAAATCTACTGGGGGAAAACTGAGGTTTTGGCGTTTTGCATATATTCAAACATTAGCAACCAAAAGACTTCATCTAGTTCCAAGATGGTCTTCTATACAATTGCAAACTTTCTAGCATCTGAATAGGAAAAACATGAAGCACTTATATCAACATCAAACACATTGTCTAGGTTATCATCAGTCTAGATAAGGGGAGTGTGTCAAAATTATTTGTTTCATAAAAATTCGGCAGTATACATGATAATTTTCAGGAAAAATAAATAAATTTTAAATTTGAACTGAAACAATTTTTAAATTGGGAATAATTCCAAAAATTATAAATGAAAAGTATCACAATCTTTTGGCTAAGATCAACTGATTAAAGTAGATGCTGATAGAGCCCAATCCTGGAAAAGTGAAACTTCTGACAAAACAAGATTGGGAGATCAAAATAGTTTAATATTCAACAGTGACAAAACTGATTCAGAAATTGCTTCCCTATGAAGAATATATTACAAGGCAGACTTAAACATGTAGAAATGGTTTCTAGAAAGAGTCAAGAAACTAAAAACATTAAATGACTTAAACAGAACAAAGATCTCCAGTGCTTTATATTAAATACTAAAAGCATAGCATAAATATTCAATGTGTGCTTAGTGGCTGGAAAAAAAGGGGAGTGGAAAATGTGTTACTAAATTCTTCAAAAAAATTTAATTTATGCTTTATTTTTCCTTCTTCCTTTTGTTCATCCTGTTTTGTTCTCTTAAGCTTATGGTATGTTAAAATTTAATTTTTTATGAATTCAATAGAATTGGAACTGTCTGAATTGTACACATAAAATACCTTTCCTTAAGCAGAATCAGGATTGTGCAAAGCCCCATGCGTGGAAGTCACATAAATCTTAAAATTATTTATCACCATCATAAGTACAAAAATATCTTCAGGCATAATGATGTATTTGTAGACAATTTATTTATGCATTTTCAAACAAACTATTATAATCTCTTTCATAAACTTAATTCAGACATTTCTATAGTTTATCCTTCATCTTTGGTCATCTGGTGCACTTTACAAATCTATTAACAGTTTAATTCTATCTCTTGATCTCATAGTTTTAAACAAATTTTATTTTAACTTTCAAGTGGGGTTTCATTTCCATTTTTAATTAAAAATTAGCTTTTAATGTGTACAGATTGATTTTAAGATTCATATAAATAAACATTCAATTTCAATATATTTTTCACTAGTTAATTATGGCAAAATAGCCCTTCTTTCACTTCTTAAATATAGCATATATCAATGCAAAGATAACATTCCTGTTATTATCCTGAGATCATTTATTAACCATATTCATTGCTGTAAACAATGGAAACATTTTATACCTTATCCCTTGGTAAATATTTTGAAATACAGAATTTCTTTGGCAATTAAAGTATTCATTAAATTGAAATCTTTGCAGATAAAGCTGTTTTGGACATTTAAAATTATTTGTCTCTGAAGACAGTGCTAATTTATATTTTTGAATGCCAATTCTTCCTTTTAAAATTGTAAAATTCTACAGAAGTTATAATCAAACCAAGCTTTAATATTTCTTGGGAACCCTACAGCAGCATTCTTCAAACATATCTGATGGCATTCTTATGCATGTATATATAAACATGAATACTGCAACATTCAGCACTGCTATGGTCACGTTAAGAAAAACACACATATATATGCTGAGATTATATAAATTAGCAAGACAATGTTCCCTTTCTATAAAACTGGACAAGGATTGGGCACTGCTTGAAAAAATATTGGGAGGCACATGTTGAAGGAGGAATTTACAGGAAACTTGGGATTATGGCTGTAATTTCATAACTTGATATCACAGGTTTTTTAGAAAGGGACATAATATTTTAATAATGCCAATAATATGTTAATATAAAAATCTAAAACAACACATTTAAAAACAACACTATTCACACATAAGGCCTCTTAACACTAAGCAAAATTAAGTTTCTTCATAGCAGATACATATTTATCAGTATAGCAATGGAGGAAAGCAATAAATTCTTGTTGAGTACAATTCTATGTGCCTTTAGTTAGTACAATGCAACTAAAAAAGCACAAGAAAAACACACGCTTCTATCAGTAAATTGCTTGAGCAATCATAGCTATTTCAGGCTATTTTTTTTACAATAATGTAATTTTAAATTTCAACTTAAAATTACAATAGGCATATTTTTAAGGTTTTATTATGGCTTGCTAAAATGTATTCAGTACTTTACTCTGGGTCACACTAAAAATGAAATGTAATAACTGACTTTGATACAGAGATTCACAGTCATCATTGTTCCTAAAATGTTATTTTCAATGTGTCTTATTTGTGTTCTGTGCATTCATACATATATGAGATATACCTTTTACAGTAGCCACAAGAGAGGTTTCTAGAGCTTTGTAGGATTAGGTGAAAAGTCTTTTAGTGTGTTTATTCCTCAGTATTGATGGCCTCTTCCCATTTCCTTTTGACTGTTTTAATAGAACAATCAACATTCATCTCCTTAGCTTTCATTTAATATGGTATATTCACATTTTACAGTGAAAATCAATTAATTGAAAAGATAGGGAATGCCATGGATATGCCATGTTTCCCTGAAAATAAGACCAGGTCTTATTTTCTTTTGACACCGCCCCCCCCCCAAATGGCTAGGGCTTCTTTTGGGGGATGTCTTCATTTTCCTCCCCCATGTACCAGGAGGAGGCAGGGGGGCAAGTGGTCCCTTGCGCCAGTTGCCTGAAGGGTCACAGCAGGCCATCCACGAAGCAGCTGCTTTGTGGATACCGCTCAGACCTCCGCCTCCAGCAAGCATGGCTACTTTTGCAGCCGCAAAAGCAGCAGGAGGCCAAGCAACACACTCCACACATTGCTTGGCCTCCTCATTGCTTGCAGTGCAGACTGCACGAGGTGAGAAGATAAGTCTAAGGGGAAGAAAGGGTGGAGAAACTTTCCCCATGTGCCCCATACGCTCTCACCTAATGGTCGCATCTGCCATCCATGCAGAACAGCCTCGTGGCCGCTCCAGCAACCCTACCCACTGCGCCCCTTTTTCTGTTAATGGCAGCCACAAAAAAAGCAGTAGGCCCAGCAACACGCCCCACGCACTGCTTACTTAACAGTGTGATGGTCACACCAGGCCATCCCACCATCCACGAAGCTGGTAGTCTGTGCTGTTTGAGAAAAGACTGGCAGGCAGAAAAATCCCTCTCCCCATTTTCTTGCCATTCGTCAAAAAGGCTCCATTCCGAGCCATCATTGTTGCAATCCTGGGATATAGTGAAGGCTCAGAATGGAGCCTTTTTGGTGAACAGCAGAAAAATGGGGAGGGGGATTTTTCTGCCTGTCATCCTTTCCTCAAGCTCAACACAGATGGATATCCCAAACACACATCCCGAGCCTTCAGCATTGCATTCCTGGGATGTACGTCCTTTTCTCAAGTGACATTTGATCACTTGAAAAGAACAGAGAGAAGAAATGAGAGGCAGCTCCCGGCCCTTGCTGGCTCAGCTGATCTGCGGGTCCAGTTAAGGGGCTGAGCAGCCATGAGGTGACTGGGGAAGGGCTGCCTTCTGTGCTGGCCATGCCCACCCCCTTCACTAGGGCTTATTTTGGGGGTAGGGCGTATATCAGACCCACCCCCCAAAAAACCCTTCACTAGGGCTTATTTTTGGGGCAGGGTGTATTTTCGGGAAAACATGGTAGTAGCCACAAAATCAATCTTTCCATCTCCCAGAATGGAAACGACTCCCCCCACCCACCCAGCATGGTTTTTTTTTCATCCCTAGTCCTACACACATAGTTGGATTGATGGACCTCACACATATGATGGAAGGAGTTGCTTATGTCACTTTATCTGGACTATGCCAAGGTCCCTTCCAACTCTGTTATTCTATTATCTGTTTTCAAGGTCATTTCAAAGACGACAAAGAACCACATTTGGAGCATGCATGCTACAAAAATGCATGCCCTATATAAAAATTTTCTCCCTCAACTAGAAGTTTTCAACATGAACTGTATTCAGCTATATCAACATATGTATAAATGCACATATAGCAATACATGTTTATTTCCTTCAAATAGAAAGTTGTTACTGATAAGTATTTATGTAAAATGTTTGTACACATGTGTACTCGATAGCTGCAAAGTCACTTCCTTATTATAGATATTCAGTGTCCATCAGTTAATCTGAAACCTTCATCACAGGCAGAAAACCAGAAACTCAGACAAAAAATAAATAAATAAAGAGAAAAAGAAAAATGATTTTTTTTAAAGAAAAAAAATTGCACAAGTTTCCCATGGATCAAATGTATCCAACACACTTCTATTACAAGCAGAAAGTACTACTGTGAGTTTGAGATAAAAAAGGTAGTAAAACCTATTTCATTCTATCATCATAAACCAGCTTCCCCAACACAGTGGTGTTTCATGGACTGGAAATTGTCCCAATATCTTTAGCTGGCCCCAAGTTAGGGAAGGCTGCATTAAACCTTTTATATATATATATAT